CCCCCCCTCCCGGGCAGGGAGGAGGGGGGCTACCGGGAGGTAGTGCTTTCCCCGGGGGGCCCCCCCATGGCGTTCTTTTGGGATTGGGGGGCGTTCCTGTTCTTTTGGCAAAAAAGCCGCCCCCTGCCCAAGAAGGGGAATCCCTCCCCAGTGTTTCCCCAGTTTTCCCCCTTTTCCCCAAATTTCCCCAAATTTCCCAAAATTTCCCCAAATTTCCCCAAATTTCCCCAAATTTCCCCATATTTCGGTGCCTTCCGCCGAATCCCGGGGAACTGCACTGCCCTGGGGTCCTCTGGGTTTTTCCCCCCCCCCCCCCCCCCCCCCGAGGCTGGCATCTCCACGCGCTAGGCACCCTCCTCGCCACCCTGCAGCCCTCCGAGCCGACCGCGCGCTTCGGCGGCGGCCGGTGCGTCGCGTGCTCCGCGCGAGGAAGTGTCTAGGACGTGTCTAGGACGTGTCTAGGCGGCTGCCAGTGCGTCGCCTATTCTCCCGACGGCGCGCTGCTGTTTGCTTCCGGCGGCGGGAACGGCCGCGTGCAGGTGCGGGGGACACTTCCGAGACACTTCCTGTGGTGGACGGGGGACACTTCCGAGACACTTCCTGTGGTGGACGGGGGACACTTCCGAGACACTTCCTGTGGTGGACGGGGGACACTTCCGAGACACTTCCTGTGGTGGACGGGGGACACTTCCGAGACACTTCCTGTGGTGGACGGGGGACACTTCCGAGACACTTCCTGTGGTGGACGGGGGACACTTCCGAGACACTTCCTGTGGTGGACGGGGGACACTTCCGAGACACTTCCTGTGGTGGACGGGGGACACTTCCGAGACACTTCCTGTGGTGGACGGGGGACACTTCCGAGACACTTCCTGTGGTGGACGGGGGACACTTCCGAGACACTTCCTGTGGTGGACGGGGGACACTTCCGAGACACTTCCTGTGGTGGACGGGGGACACTTCCGAGACACTTCCTGTGGTGGACGGGTCCTGGCGCAGGTGTGGGACGTGCGGCGGCGCGTGTGCATCCACACTTGGCACGACGGGTCGGGCGTGCGAACCACGCGCATCGCGCTCTCCCCCGACGGCCGCTACGTGGCCACCGGCTCGGACGCGGGCGTCGTCGCGCTGTACGAGACCGCCGCGGTCGTCGCGGGCGGCGAGCCAAAGGCGCTGAAGGAGTTCATGAACGTCCGCACCGCCATCACGGCGCTCGCCTTCAACCACTCCTCCGAGCTGCTCGCGTTCGCGTCCAAGTACGCAAAGGCGTCGATGCGAGTCGCGCATTTGGCGACTCGCCGTGTCTACCCCAACTGGCCGACGTCGAAGACGCCGCTCAAGTACGTGCAGTCGTTTGCCTTCTCGCCAGGGTCGGGATACCTCTCTTTCGGCAACGACAAGGGCGCCGCGCTGCTCTACCGCCTCAACCACTTTGAGGCGGCGTGACGGAGGCGCGGCGCTCCTCGTCCGAAGCGCGGGGAGCGTCTCATGATTGTTGGGCTCCAGTCAGTGGCTGCCCGGCATTACTTTTGACGCTCATCCAACTCGTCCTTCTGGATCCGGGTCCTTGTGTTCTTTTATTCTGACGTACGATGGTGAGAGAATGCGCAAGCTGTGGCTCCAGTGGCTGTCGCGGCGTTGGCGGCTCGTCCACGCGCTTATAGCTAATGTAAAACCACTTACTCTACCCGCCCGCGCGACAGCGGGTCCGGATAAGATTATTTTTTGACTTATGCTCTAACTAAGGTGCAGTTTTGGCGACGGTATATCATTTCCCACTATGCCACGTCGCCTATCCCAGACCACACTCCCGGGTCGCGGAACATGTGTCCGGTTTGGTTGCCGGCCGGGATGCGGTCGATCGGTGGACTCCTCTTAGTGCTTAGAGGAATTCATTTTTTCGACCGTCGGACTGGGATTCGAACTGGCGATGGCGACGGTATATCATTTCCCACTATGCCACGTCGCCCATCCCGCGGAT